AGTCCTATATAGTGCTGGCCCGTTCAGGAGGCTGCTCTTGCCAATGCCAAAACATGCCAGACCCTGGCGCTGAAGGTCAACCAAGGGTTGTCTTGAAAACAGGTCGAAAATGGCCTGTGCTAAGACCCTGGTCTGGTGCCTGAGTTTCAGGGCAGGTCGATCTTATGAGGGCCTGAAAATGGCCCTCAGTTTCAGGCTGAAAAGACTCAGGGCCGGAAAGGCACTGTTTTAGGTTGAAACGACACAGGGCCTGTAGGCCCTTGTTTTCAGGCTTTCAGGCTGAAATGACACAAGGCCTGCAGACCCTTGTTTTCAGCTAAAAACGACACAAGGCCTGTAGGCCCTTGTTTTCAGGCTTTCAGGCTGAAACGACACAAGGCCTGCAGACCCTTGTTTTCAGGCTTTCGGGCTGAAAACGACACGGGCCTAAAAATGGCCCGTGCAGCCTGTTGCAGGCGCAGCATGTAACACTCCCCCCTCCTTATGAAGTCAAGTCGGGTCGAGGGCGAAGCTGACGATCTGAAGGTGGAACCTGGATGCGGGTGCGACGTGGAGCCGAAGATACCGGCTTGCCTTGCATCTTGCGTTCGTAGCGTGCGAGAACATCTGGAGTTGTTGCCTGGAGTTCCGCACGGGTCAACCAACGGTCAGCTTTGTGAGTGCAGTACGCAAAGTGTACCAAGTACTCCGTTGGGCTGTTGCCGTAGCGTCGCTGGGAGATGATGTCGCCGACCTCTTGAAAACCGTCCATAGATGGTGGGTCTTGCGATCTTCGCCCGGGAAAATCGTCATGTTTCGTTGGCGTGTAAAGAGCCAACTTGGAGCAATGAAAGACCGGGTAGACGGGCAAGTGGGCGGGCACCTGAATGGTGAAAGAAGGTCCTTCAGGTGCATCCCCAGCGGGTGCCACGATCGGCCAGGGCCCCATCCATTTCGGGAGGAGCTTGCGAGAGATATCTTGTTCAAGGCTGAATTCCGCGGCTGAAACCCAAACGAGATCGCTGGCGCGGAATGGGCAAGGAAGACGCTAGCGATTGGCCTGTTGGCTCATGTGTTGCTGCGTCTTAGCCATTTGGTCGCGTGCTTTGGCAAGTAGCTCTTGCATCCGACACAAGAAAAGAAGATGGTCGTCGCTCTCGGCCGTTCATGGAATGATTGTGTCCAACGGGGAAGTGACCGGCGAGCCGTGCTCGAACTCGAAGGGCGACATCCCAATAGTCGGGTGGATGGACGAGTTGTATGCCAACTCGACATCCGGCAGCCGCTCAACCCAATCCTTTTGGTCGGGACGGATGAGAGTGCGAAGGAGAAACTGTGCGGTGTGATGCGCCCTCTCCGTTTAGCCATTGGTTTGGGGGTGGCGAGTCGAACTTGGCTTGAGAGATGAGCCCCATCGTTTGATGAGCGCCAACCTAAAATCGGACATGAACCGAGTATCGCGGTCGCAAACGATTTCCTTGGGGTAACCCTTGGTTCGAATCCAACCGGCGTAAAGAACCTCGGCCAACTCCGGTGCCTTGGCATGATAGCGGCAAGGCAAAAACATGGCGAACTTGGTGAGTCGGTCGACCACTGTGAGGCGCAAGGGGACCGATAATGGTCGCAACTCGCCGTACATACGATGGTTGTGGGATTTGCATCGTCGGCAAACCTCGCATGACTCGCAATAGCGTGTGACGTCGTCGAGAAGGTCGCGCCACCAAAATCGCTCGTGAAGTCGGCCAATCTTGCGATTGACTCCGAAGTGTCCGATGGCGGGAGCATCGTGGAACTCGCCAAGAAGCCGTGTACGCAAGTGAGAGTCACTCAATACGCAAGGAAGGTCCTTCCCCCGCGTGTGGACAAGCAAGTACCCCTCTTGGATCCGGTAGTGAGAAGGTGCCGGATTAGGAGAGGAGCAATTCGCGTACTTGTCGCGAAACTCGAGGTCGGCTTGGCAGCCGCGGATGAAGCTGTCCCGCAGGTTGTCGCCGATCTCGAAGGTCGAATAAACTGCGGTACAATGATCCGGACGCCGCGAAAGAGCATCCGCAAAACGGTTAGACTTCCCCGGAATGTGATCCGGAAAGAAGTCAAATTGGTCGATGAAAGCCATCCAACGGGCGATGGTGCTATTGACGGTGTCTTGGGTCTTGTAGAAGACCAACGGATTGTTGTCCGTTGAATTGACTTCGACCAAGGAGGAAGTGCGGCCACCGCTTGAGCGCGTGGACAAAGGCTAGGAGCTCCTTCTTTTGTGCATCATCAATGGAGTGCACGACGAGCACTTTCTTGCTGAAGTACTCGACCGGGTGCTAGTCCACGCCATCGTGTTGTTCGAGGACGACACCAATTTCATAGTCGGACGCATCCGTAGTGACGAGCGTTGGCAATAGCGGGTCGTATATGCGCAAGACCTCCACAGATAATAGCGCGGTTTTGAGAGCCAAAAATGATTCCCACGCATCCTCCCCGAAGTCAAATGGTCGATCCTCGCATTGAAGCTTGGTTAAGTGGGCCGCAATCTTCGAGTATCCCTTGATAAAACGTTGGTAGTAGCCGGCAAGGCCAAGGAACGAACGGACATCCATGACGTTACGCGGCTCCGACCACTCTTGGATGGCTTGAATCTTGCCTGCCAATGGACTGATGCTCTCTTGTGTGACAAAATGGCCCAAGTATTCCAGCTCTTGCCGAACAAATTCGCACTTGTCACGGTTGGCTTTGTACTTGGCGCGCCGGAACGCCTTCAACACTCGTCGAAGGTGCTCAAGATGATCCTCCAATATCCGGCTATAGACGAGGATGCCGTCTAAGTAGACCAGCATGAACCGGTCCAACATCGCACGTAACTCGTTGGTCATTGCTGCTTGAAAGGTCGTCGGGGCGTTGGTGAGGCCAAAATGTATGACCACCCACTCAAAGTGCCCGTACCGCGTCTTGAACGCGGATTTGTAGCGATCGTTCGGCCGGGTCGAAATCTGATGATATCCCGACTTCAAATCCAACTTAGAAAAGTACTTTGTGTCACCCAATCGCTCAAGAAGATCGTCGATACGAGGAAGAGGCCCCACATTCTTGATGGGTTGCGCGTTGAGCTTGCGGTAGTCGATGCACAATCGTAGATCCTTGTTCTTCTTCCGTACGAAGAGAACTAGCGCTCCATATGGGGAGCTACTAGGGTGAATCCAGCCCTTGTCCAACAAGTGATCGAGTTGCGTGCGGAGGACCGTAAGCTCCTCCTCGCTCATGCGATAAATGCAACCTTTCGGCGGCACGACACCGGCCTCAAGAATGATCTCATGAGAGATCGGCCGATCCGACACCACACCGGTAGCTGACTCGAAGATGTCGGCGAACTCGTCAAGCAACCGCACCACACGGGGGTCTGAAGACAAGTCCGTGGGTGAAGAGTCGGCTAACGCGACGGTCCGTAGGAAACATAGGCCCATCTTGTCGGGTTTCTCGTAAGAGCAAGTAGCCCGTAATGCCTTGGTCGTCACCACTTGACACCGAATTGAAGGGTGCGGAAGAGGAATAGTACAGGACACTTCGTCTCCGAAAGCGTCCCGAACGGTAAGAGTCCCCCGGTGGAAGTTGACCGTGTGATCCGCACTTGCAAGCCAAGGCATTCCCAAAATAACGTCGAAGTCCGTGTCCAAAATGTCGAACGTCACCGGTTCGCATGCATGAGGTGCGAAATACACCGGTACAGCCTCGATGTAGCAGTCGATAAGCTGTTGCGTCCTTCCGTTCGCCAACTTGATCGCTGTCGCGTTTGCCTTTCTTGGAACTTGTGTGCCAAGGCCAGCCCTTTGCATAAAGGCTTGACTCATGAAATTGCGAGACGCGCCGCTGGCCAGCAAAGCGCTGCAGGACGCTTGCCCAACTTGGATGTGGACATAGAGGAGCGGTGCGTTGTTGTCATCGTACCGCTGCTTGCGAAACTCACGGGCCACCTTGGTAACATACGTAAGGATGTCGCCCACCGCAACTTCGTCATCCGTCGGCGAAGTTGGTGGTGCATAGAAGGATAGATATGTGTGAAGATGAGCGCATATGCTGCGCATTGCAGTCCCGACAAGCGACCCGTGGTCAGGAGAGGAAGCCATGCGAAATCCTCGGACATGAGTGGGTCCAATACCTCTATGTTGAACTCGCGCACCGAATCCCGTGAAGAACCACTTGAAGACGAGAAGTCGCCGCTGCTGGGCGGAGAAGATGCCGCACACACGTCTTGTCCTTGAGCGTGAGTACCCAACGTAGGAACGAGCCGGGCAGCATAGTCCTCATAAGAATATAGAAGAGGAGGACTATCGACTTCCGCGTGTGCCTCGGAACGAAGGGCGGTCACCCGCGAAGCGACCGGTTCCGAAGGCGTTGAGAGTGTCGTCGAGTCGGCGGTGCTCAGTTTCCCGATTTGCCTTTGCCTTTCGACGGGCAGCCCATTGTGTCGTGAAGATCGATGTTACACCACAAACAATAGCGGAATCTCGTGCGTGCTTTGTATGCTTGTTCGGAGAGACCGTAGTGGGACCATGGGGCTGGAGCTGCTGCACTGGGCCTGGGGCTAGATGCGGTGTTTGTCTTCGTCTTGCCGCGTCCTCAGCCTTTGTTGGGGCCGCCACCATCTTGGGCGGATGCGAGTCTGTCCCCTTCATTGGCAGACAGAGCCTCGCTTATTTGGTTGGTTGGCGTTGCCACCGCGACCACGACCACTTTCGGCCGATGCTGATCTCTGCTCAGGCCTGCCGCAAACGAACGGTGGAGGTTTTTGGCCCCCTTGTTCGTGACAATGATCTGCGCAGCCTTGTCGAAGAGCTCCGTCGTTGTCGTCAGGGTGTCCTTGATGTGAGTCAAGGCGTTGCCCAACGTTGGACACGACCTCGAGATGAAGTAGTGTTTGACGGCCTTGAAGCCCATTTGAATGTTTGGGACGGATTCAAGCGTTGGTACTCGGCAATCTAGTCAACACTCGACAGTGTGCCTTGTTCGAAGGTCATCAACTTGTCGATTGCCTGGATCTCCGGCGGCTACTTGGAACCGCTTATGCCACGCCGCCTTTAGATCATCCTAGCTGATCTTGGTGTGCAAGTCGGCAGCTACCACCTCGTATTTGGACAAGAGATTGTCCAACCATGCTTGGCATGCTGCCCCCGACCGGGAGTATAAGTACGCGTGATGCTTGTGCTCGCTGACGTGGTGTAGCTGCAACTTGAGCTCGAACTTGCAGAACCATGGAATCGGGTCCGTCTTCGTCGAGTCGCAGAAGATCTCTTGATCATCGAACTTTGGAGTTGTCTCGCGCGGTTCCGATCTCGAGTGGGTGGCGGCAATACAGATCCGTTGCTCCAACTGTTGCGTTGTGGTTTGCTGTAACTGCACGCCATCCTTGAGGGATCCAACATCAATCTCCAAAGCCTCGAGGCGATCGGAGGTGTTGGAGGAGCTGGCAACGGGGGTGGCGACGGTTTGTTCCAACTGCTCAAGGCGGCTGTTGACTTGGTCAAACACCTGATTCTGCATCTGAACCACGTCGTCGAGGTTGTGGATGTCCTCCTGCTGTGCAATGCACGTGGCCAGGAGGTCTGTGAGATGGGAGAGGAGTAGAGCGATCTTGTTTTCACTCTCTTCCATCTTACCATTCTCGGCCTCAGCCTGCCAGTCCGCTGCCATTGTGAGCAAGGCTCGCTCTTCGTTGAATATCTTCTCGCGTCGTTGATTTCGTTCTTCATCGGCAGCCCTTGCGGCTGCCTCGTCTTGTTGCTGTTGCTGTTCGATTGCCAACAGATGTGCCTTCTCGGCGTCCTCTGCCTTCTTTTTCTCTACGGCTGCTAGCTCATCCGCCCGTTTCTTGGCTTCGGTAATCAAAGCCAGCATTTGGGCCTGATAGGCCTTGGCCGTTTTCCCGGACTTCTGATCCATGCCGGCTGTTTGTAAGTGAGTGAGCATCGACCAGGCCGGAGGACTGCTGACGTGGCACTCCCTGCTGCTGACGTGGTACGGCTGTCGGCTGACGTGGCCTGCTGACATGGCAAACTCACCAACGCCGCCGCAGGGGATACCCGGAGATAGATAGAGAAGATAAGACCAGAGGGGCAACAACATAGGTGGGGAGGCGTGGGTGGGATAATCTCCCAGATAAGGAGCCACTAATCAAAAAGGAAAGTTTGAACTTCGCAAAAAAATTGAGAAAAGAAAAAAATATTTGTTTGGAAGTTCAATAGGCCTCCCAATTCCCCCTGAAGTGCGAAATTACTAATGAGAAAAAATTTCAAACTTTCAGACTGCAAATGATTATCAGATCATAGAACTGCGAATAAAAAGAATTCCGAAAAAAGGAAAAAAAACTATTCAGAATTACTCAGATGAGAGTATGCGCAGTTTGGAAAATGATAACTGCAAGAGGGATTCCCGTACCGTTTTAAAAAAAAACGAATTTCGGAAAAAAAATATTTCGGATTTCCAAATAACGGGAAACTGCAAAAGGAAATCGAAATTTTCGAAAAAAAGATATTCCAGATTTCCAACAACAAAATTCTGAATTTTCACCCACAACAGAAATAGCAGGAAAATAAAATCCAAGAAAATAAAAATTTTTGATTTTTGGAAGTGAGGTCAAAATCGTGATTTTGGGGACTAACTGGTGTGCTCTAATCAATCAATCAAGACTAATCAGCTACTTAGTCCCTGCACACGTATCAGATCAGGTTGTCCTGATTCACGTGCGGTGCTCCAATACCAACTGTTACATGCCCAGTCGGGCGATGTACATACATAGCCAAGGATCTGCAATGTGATGAGAAGGATTGAATGGACAATGCAGTGCTAGTAGAATCTCAACAAGCAATGTACCTCCTGATACATACAAAATGGCGCCTTGTAGCGCAGTGGAAAACTTAGATACAAGTCCTGACCTGACCGAGACTGACCTCCCTCACGTAGTACCAGACAGCGCAGCAGAATGCTAGAATACCAATGACGAGCCCAATCAATGTTGCAATGCAGACTAAACATACATCATCTTCATCAGAAGGTGTGAAGGAGGCCTGGCGCTACACACAGGAAGAATGCGCCAGGTCCAGATCATGCACGAACAAAGAGGAGGGGAACAAATGAAGGAGAGCAGGGGGGAGATGGGAAAGTCGTCAACACCAAGTCTTTGTTACAAGTCCCAAATAATCCCTCGTCAAAATGTCTGAAGTCCAACGTCGAGTCTGGATCCAAACGTCACCAAGCTCTCTCTCTCTCTCTATGCGGATGCAGTGAAGTCAAATAGCGAGAGGGTGAGAGGGAGATGGTGGACTGAGAAGAGGAAGAAGAAGAACTCTCTCTCTCTCTCTCTCTCTCTCTCTCTCTCTCTCTCTCTC